GCACTTTGAAGTAGTTTCATGTTTTCAAATTTATGCCCATTTTCACCAAAGGAGGGGAAAAAAGGTCAAGGCAAGTTTTTCCTAGATTCATGGCTTTTCTTTGACTTATTTTATATTTGCTTTAAACCTAACCTAATCCTAACCATGATTAGACTTTATGGATAGCTAGAAGCTTTTGATTTTATGAAGAAAACAGAATCAAAGCTGTTGCTATATTGCTGATTACATGTTTACAATCTATCTCACCACATACAATCAAAAAAATATAAAGCAAATGAAAATAATGCTATCATAAATGCTTTTTTTATTACACAAACTGCTTTTGAATCTAGAGCTTTTTGCACAACTAGTTTTGCGGATGTGGTCTTCAAAGATGATAGTCCATTGATATACAGTTTAGTTAAATGGGTGTAATGATTATACTTGGAAAATGGCTGCAATGTGATCCTTTCAGGTAGGTCCATAACCTTAGTATAAAATTTTTAGTGGATGGTTAAAGCTGAAATCATAATTACACTCTGAGATTGCTTATTGATTAGCATTGCAACCACTGTACCAAATTGACTATGTGAAGCATGTAACTAACTAGAATATTCTAACTGCTCTTGTTGATGACATTTTATTATGATCTGGGTCCTGATATGGCCATAATTATTGGAAAGTTTTGTACTTAGTTACCTGTGGGGGAGCCTAGAAACTGCTGTTTGGTATAGTCTATTTATCAGATTCTGATGGAAGAAGTGTAGCTTATATAATTAAGATCACCTTAGGTTGTTCGTTGTTCGCAACATCCTACTTTATGATAGAAATTACAAATAAGTAGTAAGATTACAAATGAAAACACAGAATATACAAGATGATTATGTTCAGTCTCGAAATCCCAAGTATACGATTGAAAGTCCAGGTGTACGATTGAAGTGAGAGAACTTCTCCCCTCTCTACCATGGATAAAATATTTATATAAATGTTAGCTTAGTACACAAGACTATTGGGTATGCGAAAAATAAGATATACATAATCTTACCCTGCATGCATGTTTTAATGGCTTAAGCCTTTCTTGCCTTTGTCAAAATGGAGAAACCTAATCACCATACCAAAATCTACCATTTCTCGAATAAAATAAATATATCTCCTGAAAATCCTTCTTGTTGAATTTTAACAAATATCTAGAAACCCTAATTGCTTAACTGAGCCATGTTTTATGATCCCCCTCCCCTCCCCCCCAAAAATAAAGAAGAAAAAAACTGAGCCATGTTTTCAGAAATCTGTTACTTGAAAATTTTCCCTTGATGCTGCTACCCCTTAACCCTCGAAGAGCCTTGTCCATGGACTCCGAGCTAGGCGAATACTCCTCCATGGAATAAGTCTCACCAAATTTTCCCATTAAAATTCGTAGAGTTTTATAATGGATTGGGTGCAAATCAACCCCTTTTTTTCGACACTATAATTGAGAAACATTAAATCCAATGCATTAATATGACTCTCATTGTCTCAGTTTCCTCCCTCACATTCCTTCTTCATATTCTTTCCCACTAGAAACAATCCTAAAAATTATCAACCATAAGAGAATAATTATATTTATATATATATATATATATGTGTGTGTGTGTGTGTGTGTTTAAATTACAACAGCTGATACAGATCCTGAGCTTTCTGCACAACTTGGCTTGTACAAGTGATCTTCAAAGATAATAATCCATTAATCATATAGTTGGTCCAAATGGGTGTAATGATTATACTTGGAATATGGCTGAAACGTGATCCTTTCTGGTAGGTCCAAAACCGTTAAGTATAAAATATTAAGTGATAATAAAAGCTGAAAGGATTAATTGTATTAGAGGCCCTCAAAGTATAAAATTTATTTTATTTTGGTCTCAATTATTTTAATTGTATCATTTTGGTCCCTAAAGTATTGAATATGTTTTCATATGGTCCCTTAAGCAAATAACATCTAGATTGCTAATGATTTTTTATTATAAACTTGTCATGTGATATTTAAAAATGAATAAAAAAATAATTTGGATAATTCTTGACCAATTGTATACTCAAATAGCCACCTAAATTACACAGTTTTGATAATGAACTATCCAAATTTTGGTCAAAAGGTACCCATATTACACATTTTTTTTGTCAAAAGCTATCCAAATTTTGTTTTAAAGCTATTAAAATTATTTTTTGTCTATATTTAGGTATTACGTGATAAGTTTATATTAAAAAATTATTAGCAATCTGGACGTTATCTGCTTGAAAGATCATATAGAAACATATTCAATACTTCATTGACCAAAATGATGCAATTGAAACATTAGAGACTAAAATGAAACAAACACCATATTTTGAGGACCTCCAATACAATTAACCCAAGCTAAAATCATAACTACACCATGAGATTGCTTATTGATTAACATTACTGCTACTTTTAGAAGTTGACTATGTGAAGCATGTGGCTAACTAGCTAGAGTCCTTCAATCAGAGTATCTTTGTTGGTGTAAGAGTTCTTCTGATCTGGGCCCAAATATCACCATCACGATGTGCAAGTTTTGTACTTATTTAAGTTTGGGTGAACTGCCATTAGGTTTGGTCTGATTGCGAGATTCTTAAGAAATAGGTGCAGCTTATATCAGATCCTCCGAAGTTGTTCTTTATTCTCATCAATATCATGTTTTATATACCACATTACAAATAAATAACAAAATAAAATAAAAAAACACAGAACACATTTGAAGTGATATCAAAAAACTCATCAATTCCCCCAAAAGGGTCAAGTTTAAAAAATTTGGTTACCCAAATGTTTGCCCTTAACGTTATTTTTGGACCACTGAAGAATCTTGTCCACAGATGGATTCAAATGAAAATGTAATAGTGCAAGGCATGTACATTATGTCATCTAGTGTAATGAGATAGAACATTTCTACGTCACTTTTTCGTCTACCTTAAATTTTTTTTTTGGCTCAGGAGAAAAGAGAGAGCGGCGGCCGATAGGTAGTAATCCCTCTTAGGCGTGATCATGAGAGTTTCCTCACTATAGAATGTCCAGTTTTAGCCATAACTTTTAACCCAAAAAGATAACATGTAAACACAGCATCAACAAAACCAAACAATAAAATACGTTGCTCTAATAAATCGAATCCTATTTAATAATCACATGGGAGTCAATGACGACCTTAAACAAATACAACTTACCATTAAACCATCAAACACTTTCTTACCACCTTCCAAACAACAGAGTGCCTTCCCTCCCCACCACCACAAACCTCACCCAACATACCCACCCACCATCTCTCTTATGTGTTATAAGAATGATTCTTTCCAAAGTATTACCTCCTTTATAGTTTATCCATTCTTGCGTACAAAGTATACTGTTGTGTGGGTCTTTACTCGACCAATTTGTTTTATAATCACGCGTTTAAAGCTGTGGGCCGTTCATATTAGTGGAAGGATTAAGAAGGGACTCTTTAGTTTATGTTAAATTATCAACTTTTATATAGGTGTTCTCTTTTGCCTTTCCTCTTTTTTTTTTTTTCCTGAGATTGGGTCTACCTTGTGTCCTTGTATCTCTCGCAAGAAATGCTTTTTTGCATTATTTACCTCCATAAAAGCAAGTCACCCTTGTTCTTTTTAGGAGATGTTCTAAATCAATTGAAATCACGGTAACCAACCACTGAATTTAAGAGAATAGTCTGTACAAGATTAAACATCCAGTAGTTAAAAAAAAAAAATACTGGTGTGCCGTGTTTTGTGTAGAATCGATAGGCCCATAAAAATTGTAAAATTAGCTCAAGTAAAAAAAAAAAGCGCAATTTATAATTAAGATAAAAGAGATATCAGAGAAAACAAATTAAGAAAATTAAGACGCGAATTAACGTGGTTCGACATATTGTGTCTACATGCATGAACCTGACGTCCAACAAGCTACATTTATTGACGATAATTAATTATATGAGGCTCAATCCTATTTATGGGACGAGAATTACACAAAATAAAAATAAATCATACATGTCTATTATTATCTCGACTTATCTAAATAAACTTAGATATCGATGGATATCTTTGGACCCTGTCGTATCTCTATTTTGATATTTATGGATTCTTCTTGATCTTATCATATCTCTAATGTTAAGAGGGAGCAATTAATTCCCTCTGATTAGTTTGTCACTCCTCCATCTACTCCCCAGCTTAAGAGCACCTACCATTCTCACTGTACATCCGGTTATCCTATTGTAACCCGTCTTGATTAAAAGCTATGTACACTGGTTTAGTTCATTTGTTCGTTTTGGAACTTTATCTACATCACTTTATTAATATATACGAATAATTGAGCAATCAAGTTGCACAATCAAATCACGTCGGATCATGGTTTAAGTGATTTCTTGTAACTTTTGGGTTGGATACCAATTGAAGAAGCATAGTAGCATCTCGGCTTTGTGCGGAGATATATAATTCGTCGTTTCTTATTTTATTATTTTATTTTCATCTATTTTCTCTTTCACTTTGTCAATTAGGAAGTTAGATAAAAGGGTTATAGGAAATTATTGAAGAGTAAACATTTTGTTCAAATAAAATTTGAACAAAATAATGGTTAGTTAGTAGAGAGTCGATGTGATTACCAAAAGACTTATGATAGAATGTGATTAGTGAGAATTTTAGTTTCTTGATTAAAAAAGTTAAAATTGTAATAATTTAGAAAATTTGGAAAGATAACTTTGAAGTCGTTTTCTATCTAATTTGTTTATTTCAACGAAAAAAAAAAAAGCTTTTAGTTTTATCAAATATCACATAAATTTGCTACATAAGAATTTCCTACTAAAAATCGTATCCTCTTTTTGAAGCCCATTACGCATTTAACTCTCCTTTGTCCATTCTTCCAAGCCCATTAAGTGAATGAACTAACTTCCGCCACAAGTCTACGTCCTGATATAGAAACCCAACAACGTCTTTGGGCTAAACACAGCCCAATTAGGCCCAAAACATATCCCAAAGTAGGTTTTATCAGGGTTTGAAGCTCGGGTAGATATTAAGACCGCCGTGTGGAACTAGGGTTCACTTTCCTCACAAGCGCTTAGAGGCAGAGAGAGATAGAGCCATGGGTAAGTCGAATCAGGGAAAGAAGGGATTCATATTCGGTCTTCGTTACGCGTTACAGATAGGTTGTTGTGACTGACTAATTCAATCTTTTTGTTGGGTGTATTGTATCAGCAAGGATCAAGGTACACGAACTGAGGCAAAAGTCGAAGCCCGATCTGTTGGCTCAGTTGAAGGATCTGAAAGCAGAGCTAGCTCTCCTCCGTGTCGCCAAGGTCACTAGCGGTGCCCCCAACAAGCTTTCCAAGATGTATGCTTTTTGTATTTCGTATTCATTCTCTACCCCTCTCTATATATCTATGCTCGTATATTTGTGGTTGTGTGTGAGAGAGAATGATTGTTGGTGATGTGTTGATTTTGATGGTAATTTATATGCAGAAAGGTGGTGAGGTTGTCCATAGCGCAGGTGTTGACAGTGATATCACAGAAGCAGAAAGCAGCTCTAAGGGATGTTTACAAGAACAAAAAGTACCTACCCCTTGATCTCCGCCCCAAGAAGACCAGAGCCATCCGAAGACGTCTCACTAAGCACCAGGTACCTAAACAACCCCTCTTCCCCTATTAACTCAGATTATAATTTGTATGCATGTTCACTCCACATGGTTTATTCTTCCTTAAGATTGAATTTCTTTTTTTTCGATGCATGTATTACATTTTTGAAAGGTAGTAATTGACTTATCTTTGCTGTTTTTTTTATATTATGCCGGGTATGTTATCATGTTTAGGTGCTGATATTGTTTTAGTTCTATGCTACATTACAATGTGATAAGCAGAAAATCTTATTGTTTAGTTTTTCAAATGCGTTTAGCATTCAAATTGAAACACATCGTGTTTGTAACCTGGTTTTGACCTTAGTAGAGTTTATCATTTGTTGTTGAATTTTTCAAATTGATTTGGCAAGCAGGCAAAAAGCACAATTGTTTTGACTTCTACTATCATTGAATTCCTTTTCCGGTTAAAGCATTTGAAAATAAGATCTTTTAGCATCCCCTGTTGTATGATGTCGTTGTCGTGTTCTCACCGCTGCTTTATATTCACCATCTTCTTCAGAGGGTATGTTTGTAGTAATGATGAGCAAAATTGTAAATTTTTCTATACATTTGTCTGTGCTTAGACCTAAAAGATTTTGAAAGCACAACACTTGGTCTCTGTTCCATGTTGCCATTATGGGGGATGCCTTAATATATTGATATTAACTTCTCATCCTCAGTGGTTAGTCTGCATCAGTCTGGTGGGACTTTAATCTGCCATGCGACCCCAATAGATAGCTGCCTCAATTATCCGTAAAGAGCAATGTTGCCTTGAGACACCCATACGCAAACCCAAGATGCCTCTGTGGTAGTTGCCTTATTTTTTTTAAATAGTAACTTTTAGTATTGTACTGATTTTTTTTTTCCCGGGCACTGCTGTGTTATCATATTTCCTGTGATAGTTCTTTGAACTTCCTAACCAGATAAGTTATGCATGGTGATGTTTCAGTTCATGGATTATGCCATTTTTCCTTGGTATTAATGTTTTGGCGGGACTTGAGATGATTGTCCTCTAGAATGATGGAGTATTACTCCGCTACCTTGAATGACAATTCCCTTAATTTGTGGAAGCTCTTGTGTTGCAAATTTAAAATTTATGCCTCATCATCTCATGTTTGGTTCAAGTATTAAGAAGTAGTGAGCTCCACATTTATTCCATCCAATACTTTGTTTGGATAGAGTATTGAATGATGGTATAAATATTAAAATATTAAAGAATCCTCTTGTTAAAAAGGGTAAAAATGTCTTTGGCCCAAACACATCCCAACCGGATTATTGAAACCCACTAAATAGGTGGGTTTATTTAAGAAGTTATAGGTGGGTTTAAATGTACTATTCATACGGGCCTAGATTATTTTTAGTTGATAATACCAGGCCAAATTTGTGTATCCAAACATGGGAGTAAAGGGGATAAAGTGGGCCCAGGCATTTTGTGATGTTATGAACTGATCTTCTTCAATTATCCCATTGTCTGGATTTATGGAAACTCCCTTGTTTTGCTAGGGGATGGGTTTCATATGTTTGCCTTTAACTTCACCCTGCAGTAACTTACTACTGTAACAGCTGATATGGCTTAATTTGTGTTGTTCTGTCTCTGCAATGTGGGTTTTGATGGTCAAATGTGAACATTGGATTGCTTGCAATACTCGTTTCTGTTTTTCACAGTGCACTTCCTGTATGCAAATAGTTTGTTCTCCTTTTTGTTCATTTTGACGTTTGTTTGGTGCTTTCGTATAGGCATCTTTGAAGACAGAACGTGAGAAGAAGAGAGAGATGTACTTCCCTATGAGGAAGTATGCCATTAAGGTGTAAGATATGACTTAGTAAGTCAACTTTAGTGTTCCTGTTCTCTAGTGGCAAAGATATTTGTAGTTGCCTTTACCATATTGTCGTCGTTACTGTTATCCCTGAGATGTGAAGAGAATTTAATTATGAGTTTTTGTTGGGAGTAATGTTTTCTTAATTTATGACACACTGGAGACATAGTTCTACGCTTGATGTAGGCATGTTGAGTGAGTATCACCTTGCTCCATTCTTTGTAGTCTGCTGAAGCTTTTATTCTCAACATGCTTATTATAGGAAATTTACAGCATCTCCAATGGTGCTCTCAAAAATAGAGCATATTTGACAAAAAGTTTAAATAAGTTGATGAATTTTTTTATACCATTTCAATAAATTTGACTTTCTTCTTTTTTTTATCTGCCATGCTTTTACTAAACTAAAATATTTTATTTTTCCTCTCATTTCCCTTGATCAAATACCCAACTGTGAGTGCTTGCTATTACTAGAATGGAATTAATGGGGTATTAGTTAACAAGAGAAATAATTTGAAGCATTTAATTTAATGTTCATATCTTGATATTGTGGTTGTGTAATTTGATTATGAACAAAAAATTCTTTGGTGAAATTCCATTTTGTGTTGCCAAGACGAAGAGAAGAAGTTGGTTTCGATGTAAATAGTGTTGTGACATGTTTTATCTTGAATGTCTTAGATGAAAAAATAAATATATTATTTTCTGCTAAAAAACAAAAATAGAGTAAATAGTGGGTTTGATATTCTAAATGTGGAGAGTTTAATTGGACTCTTGATTTTAGAGTCTAAATAAAGTGCCTATTAGATATGATTATCTAAAATAGATAGTTGAGTGGCAAATAGAGTCTCTTTAAGATACTCTTATGCTTCATTTTGGTAAAAATGGATGAAAAGTTTGAAGAATAGATAAAATATCATGTTTGATAAGAAAATAAAATAGGAAAGATGAAAAAGTGGATGAATGAGTTTTTTTTTCAATTCCTCTAAAATCAGAAGTGGATAAAAGGTTAATTATTTATGTTGAAATGTTTTTTATTTATTTATATATTTTTTGATGTATACATATTTTATGTATATATTAATTTCATATATATATATA